AGAGAGTTGGAGCTGGTGCCAATGAGAGAAATGGGATAGTAATCTGAAGCTGAAGTGATTTTGAAGATCTCAAATCAAGACTGAGAGGTGGAAAAAGCCCTGGGGACATCTTTGGGGGAGGTGAATCATCTGAATTTCTCATTCTCTTTTTTAGAATTTGAAAAAGTCAGTTGACGACATTCACTGAATATCTTTTTCATGAAGTGCTCTTTCTAAGGCCTCAAAGTCACTAATTGTGAATACAGAATAAGCACTGTCTTTATTTAATGTTTGCAAGATTGGGTTCTCTAGAAGAAAATTGTTCTGTCAATTCTGCACACTATCAAAGAATAGGAAAAGCAATTTGAAGAATGACAAAATCACCACTCCCAAATTCCATACTACTAAAGAATTCAAATCATTTAGGGGCAACTGCTGTTCTATGACCAGTTTTGCACAGCTGGTCCCAGCTTCCTGGGACTATTTCTGAGCCATAATATTAAAATGGAGCCCCTCCCTATGTTTTTGAATCCATATGGTTCTACCCAGGGCTCCTGTCCCTCCCTAACCTCTGACTTATCCAAGCAGGAAAGTGAGCATGCATATTTACATAAGCTACAAGGCTGTGCAAATAGACTGTTATCTGGTTAAAGGGCATTTTAGAAATGGCTGTTATTTCTTACCATTTTTAATGGGTTTTATACATCTAAAATCTTTACATATTTAAAAGTCCTTATCCTTATTCTTCTGATGTGCTTTCTACCAGTCTTTTTCCCTCTGTACAACACTAGGCTCTCTCAATTAACTCTTATGTCCTTTTTACCACTAAGTGTGTAGGTTTTAAAATAATGTATGTAAATTTTTCCTACTGTTCATAAAGTGCCAATTAGCTAAGAATTTCTATTATTTTCATTACAGGGTTAAAAATGGTTTCTGTTTCTTTGTTTTTTGTTTTTTTGAGACAGGGTTTTGCTCTTGTCACCCAGACTAGAGTGCAATGACATGATCTCGGCTCACTGAAACCTCCACCTCCTGGGTTCAAGCGATTCACCTGCCTCAGCCTCCCAAGTAGCTGGGATTACAGGAGCCTGCCACCACGCCCAGCTAATTTTTGTATTTTTAGTAGAGACAGGGTTTCACTATGTTGGCCAGGCTAGTCTCGAACTCTTGACTTCAGGTGATCTGCCCACCTTGGCCTCCCAAAGTGCTGGGATTACAGGTGTGAGCCACTGAGCCTAGCAAAAAAAAAAAAAAAAAGAATTTCTTTTTTGAAAAATGCATTTTGTGAATATATTTTTCTTTTATTTCCATGGACTCCACCTTTGATAAGTTTTATAACTTTTTAGGTCACACTAGATTTTCTACTTAAGGTTGCTGAGATCGGTGAAAAACAGGCTCAATCATTGGCTAGAAATTGAATTTCAACAAGGGAAAAAAAGACACTTATTATTTAGCAATTCGAAAAAGAATTATGTTCTGGCTTCCCATTATAATCTTTAAAAATGCAGTGTTAACTTGAAAACAAACAAATACACGAGAAAATGTTAAACATTAAATGCCAGTACTTCTTTAGTATGTTCTTAATGATAGTTCATAGTCAATTTTGACTTCTTATAAAGGTTTGGAACATCAGGAAGGTAAAGAAAACTGTGTTATTGCCAATAATCCACTTCAAATTATTGACTTGACTACATTTCCATATAACTGAATGTCACTATTTTTCTGTTTTGTTTGTTCTTAGTTTTCAAACACCGTATGATTGGTGTTGACCTTTAGTTTGTAATGTTCTCTATGCAAGAGCCAAGACCAACTCACAGGTATTTATTTAGCTAACTTCATCACCAACGCTGCCAAAGAGGATCCAGGATGGAACCAACGTTGGATTGCAGATCCGTCCAAAGAAAGGATAATATTAAATATTGTACAGAAGTGACCTCATGTGTTTTCATAGCATCTATGTAAGTAGATAAAAGGACTATATATTCCCACTTTTTAGATAAGGAAACTGAAGGAATACAGAAACAAGTATGTTAAACATTTATTGAGCATCTACAGCAGGAGAGGCACGGTGCCAGGTGTTTCAGAATATCCTTATGCTATAGTTTGAGTGTGTCCCCCAGAATTTCTGTGTTGGAAATCTGGTCCCTGGTATGGTGATCTGGGGAGATGGGGCCTTTAAGAGGTGATTAGGTGATTAATGCTGCTCTCTCTGGTCTGGGTTACTTCTTGCTAGAGTGGGTTCTTATTCTCTCAGGACTGGATTAGTTACTGCCAGAATGGGTTGTTATGCAGAGAGGCTGCCCCTCGTCTTTCACCTCTTTCACACGTGCCTGCTTTTCCACCATGTCATGATGCAGCGTGAGGCACTCATCAGAAACCAACCACATGCCGGTGCCAGGTTTTTGAATTTCCCAGTCCAGAATCGTAAGAAACAAATTACTTTTCTTTATAAATTACCCAGTCTCAAGTATTCCATTATAGCAACAGAAAACAGACGAAGACAACCTACAAATAAGCTAAAATCAATACTTTTCATGTGGCCAAAATGTAGTGGGTATGCAGACTGTGAAAAACACAATAACAAAGACACAGAATACAATGGAGGCATAGAGAGAGGATAACTTTTTGCTAACTAGAAGGTTCTGGAAGGGTTTTGTGGAGACAGAATCTGAGCCCAGCCTTAACAGGTGGTGAGTGTTGTACAAAGATGATGGGGTAGCACAGGAGATGGTATGAGCAAAGGCATGGAAAGGATACAGGATAGGAATTATTTAGTTATCATATAGGATTTGAGGGCAGGGCAGACTAGAAGGAAGAAAGAAGGTGTTCAGAGGGTTTGCAGATGTTCTTGAATACCAATTCTGACAGCCATGTATAGAGGAGAGTAGGGTAGCAGGGAGATCATCGGTAACTTCATCATTAAGGCTGCCAAAGAGGACTAGGATGGAACCAATGTAGGATTGGAGATCCATTAAAAAAAAACAACAAAGGATATTAAATATTGTACAGAAATGACTTCATGTGTTTTCACAGCATCCATGTTAGTAGATAAAAGCAGGGGTCCCCAAGCCTGGGGTAGTGGACTGGTACCAGTCAGTTGCCTCTCAGGAGCAGCAGGTGAGCAAGCATTGCCACCTGAGCCCCACCTCCTGTCAGATCAACTGCGTTAGAGCCTCATAGGAGCATGAACCCTATTGTGAACTAGACATGCGAGGGATGTAGGTTGCACGCTCCTTATGAGAATCTAATGCCTGATGATCTGAGATGGAATGGTGTCTCTCCCGCCCTGTGGAAAAATTGTCTTCCATGAAAGTGGTCCCGGTGCCAAAAAAGTTGGGGACTGCTGGATAAAAGGACTACATTTTTCCCACTTTACAGGTAAGAAAACTGAAGGAATAAGGAAACAAGTATATTCAACATTTATTGAGCCAGTGCAATAGTTTAGGAGAGAGGTAATGGACGCTTGAACGGAGCAGAAGAGGGAATAGAAAGAAAGGTAATAATCTGAAAGATAGAAGAGGTAAAATCTATATAATTTGGTAACTGAATGCACACGGACCACGAAGGATAAAGATGAGTTGACAATGATTCCGATGCATTAATATGAATCACAAAACATCTTACGTTTGAGCTACTCCTGGGCCAGACGTTAGGACATTTCTATTAGGGAGGTGGAAATGTGGGTCTAATGATCAGGACAGATGTTGATTTGGAAATCAACCACAGAGATATGTTGGCTGAATCATTATGAGAAGAAATCACCAAGGAATAATTAGAGTACAGAGAGAAAAAGGACAAAAAGAAAACCTTAAGGGAACACCTGTATTTTAATATAAAGTAGCAAGAGAGTGAAGGAAAATGGATCAGTCAGAGAAGAGGTAAGAGGTAAGAGGTTAAGAGGTAAGAGGTAAGATGATAAAAATCAAGGAAGAAACGTTTCCAGAAAGACAGCTGAATGCTGCTGAAGGGACAAGTAAGTAATTTACTGTGGTCATAGAGATCACATCCAAGCCCCTAAACTCCACACCTACCTATTGAATGATCACACTAGAAAAACAATGTGGTTTTTCAAGAGGAACCAACATGTCATTTTACCAACAGTTAACCTGGGACTCAGTCATCAAAATTCATTGCAAGTTCCAATCTCCTTCATTAAACCTTCTTTGCAGCCCACACAGTTCTCCTTACATTGAGCTTTTTAGATAACTATTATTAATCATGTACGAGGACCCACGTGCTCCTTCATCCTTGTAGTACTGCGCGGTGGTTAAATGCCAGGGCTTCCGAATCAGAGGCTGGTTGGATTCTAATCCAGCAGTGTGACGAGCTTTTGTTAACCAATCTTTCTAAGCCTGTTTCCTCGTCTGCACAAGGGGTATGGTGGTACTTACTCTATCAGACTTGAGAAGAATGCATGAGATAATTGCGAGTAAAAACCTTAGAGCAATGCCTTCAAAAGCTCAATTCATTTTGCTGTTACTGTGTTTTGGAAATTCCCTGAGGGTAGACGACTACTCCAACACTATTCCCTAACGCATGCAGCAGCACTGACTTGGGGGCAGTGCGCCTCATTCAGCCAGCTCTCTGGGAAACAGCTTTCTGAGGAAGAGAGATAAACAGTTGACGGGTTTTCCGAGACTCAGCAGCCCACCGAGGCAGGGCTGACTGCAGGGCGCCGAGGAAAGGGGGAGGTGGGACCCCAGCAACCACCGGTGACCTCGGCAGACCACACGTCCCAGAGTGCAGCGCGCCCACTCTAGGTAGAAGTGAGCGACGCGGCTCCGAGTCGGCTTGCGAGAGAGCCGGGGAGGAAGCAGTGCACACTGGGACTGGTAGTCCTCAGGGGGCAACTCCGCGGGTCGGAGGCGGGTCGAAGCGAGAGATCCCTTCCCAGTCCCGCCTTTTGTCCACGTCTCACTTCTCCTGGCCAATGTCCTCTCCAGTCGCTGGAGGCAGCCCCTCTCCGATGCGGTCTCCATTGGTCCTGAGGCTCCACGGCTTCGGTCCTACCCGGAAGTAACGTTGGGGAGGCGGTTTCCTAGACTACGACACCGGAAAGCTGGGGGAGGCGCTCCGGGATACTGAGGGCGGAGGGCGGTGGCAGCGCTGGCGCTGGGGACCGGCTCGGTGGCTTTGGGAAACAGTTCGGCGCCGGCGGCCGCCCGTGTTACTCCGCATCCCGCCCCGTCTCGGCACGGCTAGCAGCCCCCTGGCCACCGGCGTCCGGCAATGTGTCTCACCGGCCGGGCGTAGCAGCTGCGCGTGCGCGGGACCGCGGGGCCATGAGCGAAGCCGGCGGCCGGGGCTGTGGGTCCCCGGTCCCCCAGCGAGCGCCATGGAGCCTAGTGGCGGCGACGGCCGCGATCTGCCTGGTGTCGGCCACATCCGTGTGGACGGTGGGGGCCGAGCCCATGAGTAGGGAGGAGAAACAGAAGCTTGGGTAAGGGTGCTGGCAGCCTGGGGTGGGTTTCTCGGTGAGGCTGACCACGGGAGGGGTGCCTGTCATTGCGACCCGGTCGCATATAGTGGCCTCTCCTGTCGCGATTGGAACGGCTGTTGCCGCGCGAGAACCCTAATGGGGTGGACAGGGTCCGGGGAAGTGGGAGCCGCCGCTCGCGACCTGACCTCGGGGGGAGCTGACGGGTTGTCGCCCTGGCCGCCAATGACATGTGCAGGCTCCTTGAAGCCAGGCGCGGTGTGTCAACGCGGCTGCCATGTCAGTGGCCCGAGAAGGGGGCTACAGCCCGCATCGCTGCGCGCTGGAGTCCTGCGGTTGGTTGCCTGTCGACCGAGGCATGGTTAGCTTTCTCGCTCAAGGGAGCTTCCAGCTGGGAAAATGTTGCTGATCTCACAGTAGTTAAGGAAATGATGTTTACACCTGTTACGGAAAAGGGGGCGTTCGTTGGAACTTGAACTTTACACATTTTACTATTTCCTTGCAGTGTTTTCTTGCACTGTATTTTCATAATAGAATAGAATGGGGGGAAATTATTCAAAAGTCTCAAGTATACCTATTCAGTAGTTTTTATCCGTCTTGGAAGTGTCGTAAAATTATCAATTCTATTTACACCATTTAATTCAGAGTCAGTAATACATACACGAGGTCCTACACATGAATAAGAAAAAAGCGAAGAACCAGTAGGAAATGGGCAAAAGGCATGAACGGTTAAGCCAGAAGAGGAAATGGAAGTGGTAAACATGAAAAGTTACTCAACCTCCATAAATGTAAGAGATGCAGATTAAAACAAGGAGCTAGCTGGGTTTTGCCCATCAGATTAGTAAATATAATACAAAATGCAGGAATACAGTTCTGGCTAGTTCAGGAGTGAAAAAGGCTTAGAGTGTACATTGCTGTTAACTTATTGGTAGTCTCTCCTAAAATTTACATTGTGCACGCTCTGATTCATCAGTTCTGTTTCTGAGAATCTACCCTAAGAAAATAAAAGCACTCTTAATGCAGAGATAGATCCAGCCTGGGCAAGAAGAGCGAAACTCCGTCTCGAAAAAAAAAAAGAAGTGCATTTTGAAAGAACAACTGTTCCTTGGAGGAAATGGTTGAATAGGGTACGTTCATATTATGGAATAATATTGAGACATTAAGAAGAAGGAAGTATGTCACTGGAAGCCTATCCAGAATATATTTCCAAGACAAAAAAAAAAAATGCAAGTTGTAGAATAATATGTATAGTACCATCCCACGTTTTTTTAAAAAAGAAAAAAAAAATAGCTCAGAAAAAAGTGGAACGAAGGAGGGTGGTGGAACCATCAGGTCTTACTTGATGTACGTCATTTAAATCATTGCAAAGGGTCTTGTGTTTGTTTCTAAATAGCAATAAAGATCACTTGATGGAAAAAAGTTGAAGTATCAACCATCAAAATAAAATTACCTGTAAACTCTAATAAGTATCTTACATTTTCTCTCATCATGAATTTAATTATCATTGATAACTTTTACCAAATACCTCACTGTGTGAGCACTTTACATATGTTATCTCTGTACTCCTTCCTAATTCCCAATGAATGTGATCCACATTTTGCAAATGAGGAAGTTGAGACCCAAGGTTGACTTGTTCAGCCGCAGAGCTACTAATTGGTAGTGCCAGTATTCAAACCCAGGCTTCTCTGTTCCCAGAGCCAGGCTCTCTCCAGTGTGTTGCACATTCGTTAGACTTGGAAGAAAAGTATCAAGTCTGTTAAGAACCACAAGAATCTTATTTGACCATCACCATCCTTTCTCCATTTTTTATTAAAAACTTATTTGTAAAAGAGTCATTGGATAAATCATTTTTGACCAAAATTAGTTTTTAACTGGAAAAGTTCAACCAAATTGACTTGAAATTTCAGTTCAAATTTTGATATCATTTATGAAAGTGAAATTACAATTATTTAGGCTTGTTAGATTGCTCTACCCTTGAATAAGGGTAGAGTAAGAATCTAGAGCTATACATGGCAAATACGCAATTATATGACTGCTTTCTCCTCTGGGAATTTTCAGAAAACTGAACTTTGATTCATTAGGTTTACCTGTGCATTTTTTTAAAGCCCAAATAATGATTCATGATAAACAGCAGAAAATGCCCCACCCCTTTCCCTCCACGCCCCCCCCCCCCCCAACAAACCAAACAGATGGTAAAAGACTGGAATTGTCATGAATAGTAAGCAGTTGCTCAATAACTTATACTTTGTGGAATTACTTAACTGGTTATATGTAGTCTTACCCTTCATGGAATAAGCTTTTTGGTTTTGTTTTTAAAATTTTACAACAGGATATTTTGTTAATGTTGTGTTTTCATTAAAAAGTGAAGTAGAAAACAATCCAGTTTCTATAGCACGTGGGCAGGAGATGCAACTTTAGAAAAAGACAACTTGGCCTGGCGCCGTGGCTCAGGCCTGTAATCCCAGCACTTTGGGAGGCTGAGGTGGGCGAATCACCTGAGGTCAGGAGTTCAAGACCAGCCTGACCAACATGGAGAACCCCCTTCTCTACTAAAAATACAAAATTAGCTAGGCATGGTGGCGCATGCCTGTAATCCCAGCTACTCGGGAGACTGAGGCAGGAAGAATGGCTTGAACCCGGAGGTGAAGGTTGCAGTGAGCTGAGATCGTGCCATTGCACTCCAGCCCAGGCAACAAGAGCAAAACTCCATCTCAAAAAAAAAAAAAAGAAAAGAAAAAGAAAAAGCCGACTTACAGAAATTAAGAGTGATGTAATTTTTGAACTGGGTCTGATTTCCAATACATTTTAATCCAGTTTTCGAATGGATAAAACCTTATGGAAACTTTTTTTTTCTGTTCAATATAGTAATCATTATACCATTCTGTATTTAACTTTGTTAGGCTTCTATGTGTAAGTCAGAGAGAGCAACGATATTAAATAGCTCCACTTTGAAATATGTGTTCTGAAATTGGCTCATCATATGCTGCATAAATGTAAGGATTGGAAAATAGTGTGTTTTGCTTGTATGCAATCGTGATTTACTCATAATCTTGAAAATTGAATGCTTGTAAAGTTGAGTTAGCAAGTTAAAGCTTATGTCATTTGTAATCCACATGTCTAGGCACTATCATTGCCAGTTATAGGAATTTCTACTTCTTGGTAGTAATCTTATATTCCATTTCAGGGAAGAAAAAAAAAGAACTTCCATCTTCCATTCATTGATATGAGTTCCTGAAAGGGATATTTTAAGCTCTTTTTTTTTCCTGCTTAGGACAGGATAAGAGTTCAGAGCTGTAAACCACAAATATAAAAATTATGTGTATATATAAATATATATATATATAAAAACTTATAAAGAATAAGTGCTTTAGCAAAGTGGTGGTAAGGTCTTTTTTTAAATAATGAAGTGTTTTAAAATGGTTATTATTCTTAAAAAGTTGTCAGGACTTAATTTGTTTACTTCACAAGTTTGAGTGTACTTGATTTTGCTGGTCGCCATAGTCAGGATCTGAAACTGAGGTCTTTTCTGTTTGCTAGCTCTATTATTACCAGTATTTCATCATCCGTGACTATAGTTTTAAAAATGACAATTGCAGTATAACAGGAGGCAAATAAAAATATAGTCAGCAATTTCTTTAACACTTTTTTCAATTCTTGCCATCAGTGATTGGAACTTTGGTAAAAGAAAAGTTAATAGGCTGGGCATGGTGACTCACACCTGTAATCCCAGCACTTTGGGAGGCTGAGGCGGGTGGATTACCTGAGGTCAAGAGTTCAAGACCAGCCTGGCCAACATGGTAAAACCCTGTCTCTACTGAAAATGCAAAAATTAGCCAGGCATGGTGGTGGATGCCTGTAATCGCAGGTACTCGGGAGACTGAGGCAGGAAATCGCTTGAACCTGGGAGGTGGAGGTTGCAGTGAGCTGAGATCGTGCCACTGCACTCTAGCCTGGGTGACAGAGTGAGACCCTGTCTCAAAAAAACGAAAAAGGAAAAGTTAATAAAAGATTGTTAAGTTATTTTTCCTTTGCTAATTATTTGACCTTGTCTAGTCATACCATTAACTTGTACTTTTTCCTATAGTCCTCAAGTCCCTGAACTTGAGAGTGCTTAATTGAAAGGCCACTTCCTCAGTTGCAACCTTACAGGTTTTGATTTAGTAAAATTCTGGTGTAGTGATCAGACATCTCCATTTTAAACAACCGTTTTGGAGATTTTGTGAAACAGAATTCACCAAAACACACAAATCTCTTTTTGAGCATTAGTTTTCTCATTTTTTGAAGTGAATACTATTTATTTGATTTTTGACAGTTTTTTAGAGTACAGTACATCATAAAAAGCATCTTTTGAAAATGTGACAAGCATATTAATAAATATGTACTTAAACTAGGCATTAGTGGTTTTATTCAATGTAAGTCAAAGGCAGAGGCTTCATAAAGTGTTGTTATTTCATGTCACTACATACCCGTGTACCTCTCTTAGTAGAACATATAGGTGAAGCAATAAATGCAATAATAATGGTTCTTTTTAAGGGCTCTCCAGCAAAACTCCCCCCTTCAAAACAGATATGTTAAATAATTGTATTAAGAGGTCATTGTTTTTCTGTATCAGATTTCCTTCTCTGATCATGGCATCTGTCATTCATTAGTTTTCTTAAGAAAAATTATAAGATGAATTGTACATAAATTACTGGTAATCATTAAAGTTTGGCTCTGTGTGGTGAGTTCATGAAAGCTTGTCTGCTAACTGTTGTAGTTCTGACCCTGTTTATGTCCCTTTCTACCTAAATTTTTCTTTTGTTTTTATTGGTATGTGTTTTTATGAGGAAGAATTAACTTTTTGAAAGATAATAAATAGAATATACTTACCTTTTTTTTTTTTCCATTTCTGCTTTTAAAATTAGGAATCAAGTACTGGAAATGTTTGATCATGCTTATGGTAACTATATGGTAAGTAGGAAGCTTATCTTTACCTACTATTTATGTGAGTTGATTATTATGTGAGCATAGTCAACTGGGAATTTTGAAACCTACAATACAATTACATTTTTTGGAAGGAAATTTTTAAAAAACAGGACAAAAATAGTCTTTCTGGTAGTAGTTTTTAGGGAACCAGTTTATTGAACAGATAAGAATAAATTGAAATTAGATTATGAAACTTTGTTATTTAAACAGCTTCCTTGGGTGCCTTCAACAATGTTCATTGAGTGCTTTATGTAGCTAGATAGTGTGGATATATACATGAAGAAGATGTTATCGCTGGTCTTAAGGGAAATTATTCTCTTAATTAAAAAAAAGTTTACAATATTTATACACTGAAGAAAACCATTGCTTGAAAGAGAAACTATTACTTAGCCTCTGTCCTGATTGTATCCTCATGGACTCTGCATTGAATATATTTTGCTTTCTAGTTTCCTGATTCATATTATTTAAAACTGTTTTAGGGCTCACTTAAGATTAAATAGCAGTTTCAGTTTTACAAGATGAAAAGTTCTGGAGATCTGTTGCACAATAATGTAGATGAAATAGCTAGCAAATTTTGGAATTCAAAAAATTTTTTGTGTATAAATTGTAATTTGAAAAGAGTTTAATCATGTTATCCTGACAAATATCCCTTATAAACTTGTTTTTACATTTTAAAATATGTCAGCAGATTTTCTTCTATGATTATAGCCTATAAAATGTAGTTGGGAAAGTTTGGCAGAGGACTAACTTTAGTTCTGCTTAAAATATTTTTCAACTGATTCTGTGAATCCATTTTTTATCATATATTAACCAAGTATCTTCATACACCAACATCATTGTTGTCTATGAACATCTGAATATATATAGTTTATGCATTTTTAGTTTTAAAACATGTTTTATATTTGACAATCCTCGTTCTCTTTTATATTATAAATTTGGAGAGAGCACATTTTGAGTTCTTAATAAATGTTTTTAGAATATGATTTTTTTGGATATATTTCAACATTAAAAACACAGTTTCAAATTTGTTTCTCAAGACCTCAGTCATTCCCTTAATGTTCTTTATTTATTATTATTATTTTTTTGAGATGGAGTCTCGCTCTGTCACCCAGGCTGAGGAGTATGGTGGCACTATCTCAGCTCACTGCAGCCACCACCTCCCAGGTTCAAGCGATTCTCCTGCCTCAGCCTCCTTAGTAGCTGGGATTACAGGTGTGTGCCACCATGTCTGGCTAATTTTTGTATTTCTGGTAGAGATGGGGTTTCACCATGTTGGTCAGGCTGGTCTCGAACTTTTTACTTCAAGTAATCTGCCCACCTCGACCTCCCAAAGTGTTGGGATTACAGGCGTGAGCCATTACACCCATTCTCTTTAATTAATTTTTTTTTTTGTCACCCACATGTCAACCCTTATTTCTTTCAAAATCATTTATCCCTAGTTAACTCAGTTTGGGCAAAGCATAATTTAACAAATCTAGGCTAATGATTTTGAGATGTCCAAGTGGATCCATGCTATACTCTCAGACCTTAGCCGTCTCATAAATGCATACTCATGAATACAGTTCCAAAGCTGAATAAAATAACATATAGCTGGATAAGTTCAATTTCTCACAGTGAATAGGGTCATCTCTTTGTAAAGCATGGTATCTTTAATATCTTGTTCTTTTTAGGTAGAACAGTTATATCAATGGCAGAAAGTTACATCAATACATTTTTTCTAACTATAGAATACACTTAGTAGGTTTGTGACAGTGCAGGTACTGAGGGCAGCTTTCAGAGGACTTTCTGGCCTGTGCCTGTTAGGACCTAACTGAATAACTTTCTGCACAATTAACTACTTGCAAGATCTAAGAGACAGGGATTTCAGCTTCAAAGACTAGGAATTCCTGAAAGTAACGTTCTCTTCTATATTTTCAGTGGACCATACCTGTCCACTATAATATGTATTTTAAAATGTTTAATTATTTTACAATTTGAGTGACTCTTGCTGTGTACTTGTTCTATATTCAGTCTGTGTGAGGTCTGTAACCCAATTATTTAATCTAGAATTTACACTTCCTCTTTTCAAGTTCTCAACTAACATGACACAGTTCTAAAATATTAAAGAGAATACAGTTGCCTTGTATTTGTTATTTGAAGTCAGTTGGAAATTTTTTTCCAGTCCCTATACTCAGAAACACTTTTAGCTTTCTGTAGGGTGAAAGTGTATAGGTTTTGGAGTTAGAAGGGCTTGAGTTCGAATCCTGTCTCAGCTATTTACAGGTTGGACCCTAAACAGGTTATTTAACCCATGTGATAAACAGGTTATTTAACCCATCTGAGCAGTGTCTGTCTATGTAAAATGAGAATAATTGCAAAGAGTTATTGTAGACTATAGATATTTTTTTTAAAGAACAGGAACCAATTTCTTTAATTTTTGATAAATTCACCTTTTTAATATGTCTTGTGCCTGGTACATAAATGCTTAGTAAATTTTTTTGAAAGAACTGAATTGAATTCTTGTGAAGATGAAGTAAAATAATGTGTTTTTTTTTGCATTTGATCATTGTGATATATCTTTGTGTTTTAAATTCAAAGAAATAATAAACTTAATTAAAAATACAAGTTTAAGGTGAATTTCAGGGTCTGTAAATCTATTTACTTTTTTATAGTCAGTTGCCTACTATCCTAAAATGTAAAATGCCTGGTACATGGCAGGCTTTTAATAAATGTTGAAAGTTTTTCCTCATTTCTCACTAGTTCTTTCTAATATTACTCTCCAGTCTGGTCTACAGTAGAACAATTCCTTTAACCTTCTTGCTTCCCAGGAAAGCAGTGGTGTTTTCCAAAGACAAGCAATATATAGTATTATTAAGAGCAAGAACTCTGGACATGGAACAGGACACCCTGAGATGGCTCTGCCACCTCTCATCTGGGTTACAATGGGAAAGTTACCTAGTCTTCCTGAGCCTGTTTCTTCATCTCTACAAAATGAAGACAGTGGTTTGCCTGCCTCACAATATTGTTAGAAGGATTAAGCAAGTTAATATAATGAAAGTGCTTAAAACTAGTGTCTGGCAAATAGGAAGCATGATGTAAGAATTTACTACTGCTACTGATAACGACTACTACTACTATTATTATTTATTTCCTGCCTAAATTGAAATTGCCCTGCTAAAATCCACTTAGCCTGTAACTCAGAACTCGTTCTCCAGATAGTACATAGAACTTGCTTAAAGCACATACGTTCTTTCCTGTTCTTGGCATGTACCCTTTGAACTTACTTTTTCTATTAATGCAATAGAAGTTTCTATTAATGCTATTTCTTAATAAAAATGTCCTGCTAGCTTTAGGTAGATTACTACTTCTCTGCCATCTCTGGACTGAAATCTAGGGATTTTTGGATTTTTATCACTTACTGGCATAACTATTAGTAGTATAACGACTACATTTGACAAATCTCTAGCCCCAGTCAGGCTGCAGTTTACCCACAGTGAATTGTACAGATGGCTTTCTCTTTTCCCGAATAACATGAATTTGATGTTTACCTTAGCAGTTCTTGTGTGACCTTATTTAACCTCAGGCCACAGTCACTTGAGGGCTTCTATTAGCATGTTTTGAGTATTTGTGTTCAGTTTAGTTTACAGATTAATTTAGATGACAAAATGACACGTATTTGGGCCATCCAAATGTAGAACCTTTTTGGAGCTCCCAGTGTTTTTCCCGTCTATGTTAGACAACTCAAACTGTTATAAGCAAAAACTATATTCTGGTAAGAGCTCTAAACGTTAAAAATAAGCTTGGAAAGAGTTGGTAAGCACAATTTCCTTTAGTAGAATCATACCTCATAACCACTATTAAACTTGATTTTGTGAAAGCAGCAGTAGAATAGTCTTTATTAATCAAACCAAGGAAACTTTTAAAATGAACTTCCTGTGCATTTCTAGATTTATGTACTTTGTTTTGGAGTGCCTCTCCCCTACTCCCCAATGTATTAAAAAAATTTTATTGTCGTAAAATATACATAATATGAAATTTACCATTTTAACCATTTAAGTTTACAGTTTTGTGGTATTAAGTGTATTCACACTGTTGTGCATCCATCTCCAGAAATTTTTTCATCCTCCCCGTCTGAAACTCTGTACTCAGTGTTTCTCTTTAATGGTTCAGTCATCAAAAACAGTAATTCTGTAAACAAAGTATTTTAGGCATGGTACTAATGGTAGTAAGGGAGCTGTAAATTTATATTTACCTCTTTTTGTGTAGACTATTATGGGACTATCATCTCATTGTTCCTTGACCTTTGCTTTCAGAACATCCTAAAACCCTACCAAAATTACACAAGAAATTCTATAGTATCCTCTCAAAACATTTTGTAATCATGCTGATACTCTGCATAGAATTTTCAGTAGAACCAGATTGTTCCGCTAATTCATCTTTTTTAGGTATAATTTACAGACAATAAAATTTCAAATTAAGTGCACAATTCTGTTTTGACAATTGTATACAATCGTTTAACCACCATCACAATCATGATACAGAACATTTTCATCACCCCAAAAATTTAACTCAAAGTTATTTACAATAAATTCCTTCTCCCCACCTCTGACCCCTAGCAACCTTGATTTGTGTTTTGTCACTATAGCTTTCTCTTTCTAGGATTTCATATAAATGGCATCATACAGTACATAGTCTTTTGATTTACTTTTTCATTTAGTGTGATGCTTTTGAGATTTATTCATGTTGTTGGAGATATATTGTAATTCCTATTTATTGCTCAGTAGTGTTAGTTGATTTGGTAGAACACAATGTTGGAGATATATTGTAATTCCTATTTATTGCCCAGTAGTATTAGTTGATTTGATAGAACACAATTTCTTTATCTGTTCACCGTTTGATGAGTATTTGACTTATTTTTGGTCTTTGGCTGTTACTGTATTAATAAAGCTGCTGTCAACCTGTGAGTGCAAGTTTTTATTTGGGCATACATTTTCATATATTTCCCA